CTTTATAAGATTATTTTAATTTTAAACTGTTACATTATGTTGTGCTCAGATCACATTAAGCTAAATAAGATCAACTTGTGTTGTAAAATGAGATGTTTTCCTGTTTATCTTCTGTTAATAAATCCAAAACACAAACAGCTTTTCTGACATTATTTAAAACATTAGATAGATTATATAAACTGTAAAATATTAATAATAATTGGATTAATATTATTATTAATAGTTTTAATGATTTTGACATCGTCAGTCCTTTGTTTCTGCTCTGTTGTCAACATGTACAGTGATGATAAATCCAGTCTTGTCTGTTTAGCGTTAGCCGTTAGCTTCTCCAGCCGATCACATGGTCACCTGGTTTCTGCTCAACTTAGCAATTTTCATCATATTTTTGCTACTTTCCACTTTGATCGTTCTGCTTTCAGCTCATTTTAGCCGTTCAAACTTTCAGCAGTAAGAATTCACGCTGCGTTTTCACAGGAAATGCAGTTTCTCTTTGGTTTTACTTTTTCATTCACATTACTTAAAGTGAATGAAACCTGTGGATATGTGACATCATTAAAGAGTTTTATTTGTTTTGTGTTTTAAAGCGTCACTGCCTGCTTCATGATGAACTATGATGTCAGATCTTAATCAAAGCCAAAGCACCAGTGGTCCAGTTTTATCTCTGACCTGAGAACATGTGTTTTCTTCTTCTCCAGCACAAAATGACCATAAATCAGTTTTTCTCTTCACTCTTCTGATGAATGCTCGTTCTGTTCTCCGTCCTGTGACCTGATTTGAATTTTCGGGAAATCTGCTGGTTTTATTTAGTGCTGCGTGTTTTGCAGAGCGTCAGCAGAGAGAATCAGATCTGATCGAAGCATCCAGCTGTGTTGGAGGCTCCGCTGCAGCGTCTCTGTGAACTCAGCTGAAGGTTTGTGCTGAGGAGGAGAGGAAGCCTCGTCGGTCATTAAACCAACTCAAACTGCAGGTTGTTCACCTCACATTTCTCTTTCTTTTTGCTCTAAAACCCTGAAGTTTTTACTGAACTCTGTGTTTGTAACAACCACTTCTGTTTAGGTCAGAAGGAACTTTAAAACGTACGATACGTTCAGAAATAAGAATAAAAACAAACTTGTTTTTTAATTCACCGCAGCTCAGATCTGTCTGATTGTCCTCAACAAATGGTTCCACCCACGTGACGTGATGATGTCACTACATACGGCTACGTGATAATGTATTTCTGTACGTGATGATGTATTTCCCTACATGATGATGTATTTCCTTACGTGATGATGTATTTCCCTACGTGATGATGTATTTCCCTACGTGATGATGTATTTCTGTACGTGATGATGTATTTCCTTACGTGATGATGTATTTCCCTACGTGATGATGTATTTCCTTACGTGATGATGTATTTCCCTACGTGATGATGTATTTCCCTACGTGATGATGTCTTTCCCTACGTGATGATGTCNCACACACACACACACACACACACACACACACACACACACACCCTGTTAGCATTCCTGCTGGCTCTATATAATATTAAAAACACGAGCCTGTTTCAGGCACATATTTCATGTTGGATCTGTCATGTTTTAGTCAGGAACATGTGGAAGTCATCAGATTTTTGTTGCCAGCTGTTTGTTTCTTACGATCAACCTGCTCCTCCTCCTGCTGCCCTCCAGTTTTTTGTCTTTTCTTTTTCTTTTCTTTTCCACGTTCCCAGGCGAAGCACAAACGGCAGCAGCTGCTGCTGATTTTATTTTATTTTTTTTACCTGATTCTGAGGCAAACGTCTCCAAGAGTCAGCTGCCATTTATTCTCTTTATTCCTGCTGATCTCCAGTGTTGAATCTTCAGCTGAGACTCGGTTTTTATTCCACAGTTTGATTTTTGATTCACTCCAGATTGATCAGAACTTCATAAATATAAAAATAAACGTAAAAAATAAAAAATAACTAGACATGGGTTTTTACRATGTAAAAACAAGTGTGCATTGCCTTGCAGCATGTCTTTGCCTGCAGCAGTGGACTTGCAGAATGAAATGTGACCAAGTTCAAATGTGTTTTCTATACCAGCCTGTGCTTGTCAAGTCGGCAGGTGTTTGTAATGAGGGTAATTGTGTGACAATATGAAGTTTGTAGAGATTTTCTGTTAAAGTTACTGTTGCTGGGTTTTGAACCCTGAGCTCCTACACGAAAGCCCACGGCACTAACCATGAGACCATTAGAGCTGTGGCAGAGAATGAGGCCAGGGTTTGGTTTGTATGTCTGCAGAAAGTGGCCACATTGCCAATGTAATGGTTGTCATTAAATCGAAAAATATTATAACAATAAAACAATATTAGGACAATATTATAGTAAAACATCAAAAGACAATCATAGTATCGTAAACACTGAACTATTGAGATTAAATATTATTAAACTATGGTGCAGTACTGAGTAGACACAGCAGGGGCAGTATTGGACCAATACAAGGCTCCATTGACTCCCATTATGAATTATTAAACATTAATATTTCCAAAAATGTAAGTTGTACAGGCACCAAAAATCATAGCCATCATTTGGCACAGGAACTTTACAAATATAAATTACAATGGCAGCTCTAGGACAAAGTATGCAGGAGGAGAAGCNTTATGATCATATATTTTAGTTAATAATGAAATATTAAATGGTTATTTATTCTGACCACATCATGTTGAATTTTTGCAAAAAAAAAATTAAATTAAATTTTAAAAAAGTTTTACACCAAAATAATTTAGGGGGCTTTAAAATATTTTAGGGCGGCTGCAGCCCGCCTAAAATAGGCCTAGTGACGCCACTGCTGTGGGGACAGATGTCCCCAGCTGTCCCAGTGGACAGAACCTCATCAGAACCTCAGCAGAACCTCATCAGAACCTCAGCAGAACCTCATCAGAACCTCAGCAGAACCAGCAAACAGTTCGGTTACAAACAGAAAACAAAAACCAGAGTCAGTACAGAAACACGCGCGACACGCGGGTGTCCAAGCTTAGCTGCACAGAAATATCACGAGTCTGAGTAAGGCACTAAAGAACCAGTCCTCTGGGTCAGAACCAGTCCTCTGGGTCAGAACCAGTCCTCTGGGTCAGAACCAGGCTTCCTGAACTGGGGAAAGGCACGTGAAGGCAGAAAATAAAAAGTCCAAACACATCAAAGTCTCCAGCAGGTGAGGTTCTGATGAAACAGTTCACCTCGCCCGAACCGAACCGAACCACAGTCTGGTGTTTAGTTCTGCAGAACCTGCCCAGCTGTTTGGGGTGGAGCGCGCGAGGACCGTGGACCCCCTCCCCTCCTCCCAGCAGCAGGCTCTGGCTCCTCTCCGCTCCCAGAAGAAACTGCCCCCTGTCCGGTCCCGGTCCGGCCCGGTTCGGCCTCAGCTGCCCATGGGTTTGAAGGAGCCGTCGGGCAGCTGCCGGAAGATGCCGCGCAGGGTGTCCAGCTCGCGGCTCAGGTGCTCCACCCTCCTCCGGAGCCGCTCGTTGTCGGCGCTCAGCTCCACCACCTTCTGCTGCGTCTCCATGTTGCGCAGCTTGGCCTTGTCGCGGCTCTTGCGCACGGCCACGTTGTTGCGCTCGCGCCGCAGCCGGTACTCCGGGCTGCTCTTGTCCACGTGCTTCTTGGACTTGCCGCCGCCCAGCTTCAGGTGCGCGTGCTGCGGGCTGGGCACCGGGGTGGGCGGAGGGGTCGGGTGGCCCGGCTGCAGGTGCATGGTGGTCTGCGCGCAGTGCGCGATCTGGTACTGCAGGTGCGGCATCTGCTGCTGCTGGGGGTACTGCTGCGCGTGCACGTGGTGGTAGGACGGGGGCATGGCCGGGTTCAGGTCCTCGTCGTCCCGCGGCTCCTGTTTGATGGCCACGGGCCGGATCCGGGCCGGGTTGTGCTCGTAGAACGGCTCCAGTTTGGACTCCGCGTAGCCGGACATGTAGAGCGGCTGCGGACCCGGAGCGCACGGAACCGGGTCGTAGTCCCCGTTCATGGTCTTCAGCTTGTCGTGCCGCGCGCTGTGGTGGAACAGGTCCGCCAGGAAGTCGTCGTTGAAAGCCGCCGGGTCGATGTAGGCGCTCAGGTCGATGGAGGTCTCGTTGTCCCCGATGTCGGAACCGAGCTCGGCCGGGTCTCTGTAGCCGGACTGCTGCTGGCCGTGCGTCAGGCTGCTCATCAGGGGCCGGGCCGCCGCCTCGTACAGGTTCGACAGCTCCATGGAGGGTCTAGACCCGGACGGGCATGTCCAGGAGCTCCGGGAATCCAGGTTCTACAGGGAGGGACGGGTGTCCTGCGCGAGACCTGCAGAACCGGAGCTGCGGCGGGATCCGGGACCCGGGTCACTGTTTGAGTTTGTGCGCGGAGGAAAAGGCTGCCGGACCGGTTCCTGCTGGGTCCTGCTGGGTCCTGGTGCTCAGTAAAGTTCCGAGAGCTGTCAGACCGGGTCTTTATAAGAG